TATATTTTCCCCAAAAGGTTTCATTGCTTCTTCAGAGTTAAAGTAATAGTAGTGATACTGGCAACTAGTATAAAAAAGTACCCAAGTACAACTAGTTATTGTAGTAGTGGCAAAGCTAGTACTAGTAGTAGCATTAAAAAAAAAAAAGTAGTACTAGTCGTAGTAGTAGTAGTAGTAGTAGTAGGAGTAGTTGAGGGTAATTTTTTGCAGTTTCCATGTAGGGAAATGTGTCCTCTGCAGTAGTAGTAATTTAACGCAATTTAACTCTTCACAGGTGTTATTCTGTATAGTTTATATAACCTGTTTAGTCTGTATGTTAGACACCTACAAACACCATTTGAAATAGTGATGTGTGTCAGATGCCCTCCCAGATGTCCTCCTCCAATACTAATTTCAGAATTTGTTTAAAAAAAAAAAAAAAAATCATATATTTTCCCCCAAAATGTTTCATTGCTTCTTCAGAGTTAAAGTAATAGTAGTGATACTTGCAACTAGTATAAAAAGTACCCAAGTACAACTAGTAATAGCAGTAGTGGCAGAGCTAGTACTAGTAGTGGCATAATTAACAGTAGTTGTAGTATTTTAACACAATTTAACACAGTTTAACTCTTCATGGGTGTTATTCTGTATATAACCTGTTTAGCCTGTACTTTAGACACCTCCACATTCTGAAATACTCCTGTGTGTCAGATGTCAGGAGTAGTAGTAGTACTAGTAGTGGCGTAAAAAGCCTGAGTAGTAGTAGTACTAGTAGTAGCGTAAAAATCCTGAGGAGTAGTAGTACTAGTAGTAGCAGTGTAAAAAGCCTGAGTAGTAGTAGTACTAGTAGTAGCAGTGTAAAAAGCCTGAGTAGTAGTACTAGTAGTAGCGTAAAAATCCTGAGGAGTAGTAGTACTAGTAGTAGAGTAAAAAGCCTGAGTAGTAGTAGTAGCACTAGTAATAACGTAAAAAGCCTGAGGAGTAGTAGTACTAGTAGTAGAGTAAAAAGCCTGAGTAGTAGTAGTAGCAATAGTAGTAGCGTAAAAAGCCTGAGGAGTAGTAGTACTAATAGTAGCGTAAAAAGCTCGAGTAGTAGTAGTAGTAGTAGTAGCGTAAAAAGCCTGAGTAGTAGTAGTAGCACTAGTAGTAACGTAAAAAGCTTGAGTAGTAGTACCAGTCGTAGCAGTAGTATTTGTCCTCTGCATTTGACCCGTCCTTCAGTGTCTCTGGGTGTCAGGAGCGGTGGGACCATCTCCAGATCTTGAGCAGGTCTTGGTCAGGACCTGAGCTGGAGGATTTGACTTGTTGTTGATGTTTTGGGTGGATGGGGACACAGGGAGAACATGCAGACTCCTCACAGAGAGGCCCAGGAGTGTGAAGCTGTCACTCTCAGACGGGCGCTCGTGTCGGGACGGTGAGGAGTGTGTACAGAAAGATGCAGGACGCTCACTTCCTGTTTGTTTCTGCAGGGAACATTCTTGTCCTGGAGCAGATTCTCAGAGTCAAAAAGTCACAAAAAAAAAAAAAAATGCTCAGAATGATGTAAAAAATGTGTACACTGCAGGGTGATTAACGGTAGTAGTAGTTTGGCCTGATTCTGACACTACGTGGTCCAATACTATTCTGAAATTCTGAGTAATAACTGTTGAGAATTATATAAAAATGTGTACACAGTAGTACTAGTAGTAGTAGTAGTAGTAGTAGTAGTAGTAGTAGTAGTAGTAGTAGTAGTAGTAGTAGTAGTAGTAGTAGTAGTAGTGGTAGTAGTAGTAGTAGTAGTAGTAGTAGTAGTAGTGGTAGTAGTAGTAGTGGTAGTAGTGGTAGTAGTGTAGTGGTGGTAGTAGTAGTAGTAGTAGTGGTGGTAGTGGTGGTAGTAGTAGTAGTGGTAAGGGTAATAGTAGTGGTAGTAGTAGTAGTATTCGCAGCAGTAATAGTAGTACTAATAGTAGTATTAGTGGTAGTAGTAGTAGTAGTAGTAGTAGTAGTCGCAATAGTAGTAGTAGTAGTAATAGTAGCAGTGGTAGTGGTCATAGTAGTAGTAGTAGTCGTAGTCGTAGTAGTAGTTGCAGTAATAGTGGTCGCAGGAGTAGTAATAGTCGTAGTAATAGTTGCAGTAGTAGTAGTAGTCACAGTAGTAGTCGCAGTAGTAGCAGTAGTAGTAGTAGTAGTCCTATATACTTCTGAAGTACTGAAAGCGTCAGATGGCTTTTTAAATGTTCACAATTAGCAAGTGTGAAAGGCTGAAATTTTTCAAGTCATTTAACACAATTTAACACAATTTAACTCTTCACGGGTGTTATTCTGTATATAACCTGCTAAACCTGTACTTTAGACGCCTTCAAACACGTTCTGAAGTACCCCGGTGTGTCAGATGCCCTCCCAGTCTTCTCTCAAATGCTCTTTCCACTTTGACCATAATCTTGAGACTCAAATAAAGTGATATTCATTTCAGAATTTGTTAGGAAATTTGTAATCGTACATTTTCCCCCAAAACGTTTCAGTGTTTCTTCAGAGTTTAAAAAAAAAAAAAAAAAAAAAAAAGCTCTCTCAGTGTCTCGGGGGCAGGCAGCTGACTTTGTGATCATGTCTTTTGTCTTTGAAATCAGCTGACTGGAAAACATCACAAGTTAACCAGAGGAGGGGCAGAGAGAGGGCAGAGAGAGAGAGCAGAGAGAGAGAGAGAGGCAGAGAGAGGGGCAGAGAGAGGGAGCAGAGAGAGGGACAGAGAGAGGGACAGAGAGAGGGGCAGAGAGAGGGAGAGAGAGGGGCAGAGAGAGGGCAGAGAGAGGGGCAGAGAGAGAGAGAGCAGAGAGAGGGACAGAGAGAGGAGAGAGAGGGGCAGAGAGAGGAGAAAGAGAGAGAGGGGCAGAGAGAGGAGAGAGAGAGAGGCAGAGAGAGGGAGAGAGAGAGAGAGAGGGCAGAGAGAGGGGCAGAGAGAGGGGCAGAGAGAGGGGCAGAGAGAGGGACAGAGAGAGGGACAGAGAGAGGACAGAGAGAGGCAGAGAGAGGGGCAGAGAGAGGAGAGAGGGCAGAGAGAGAGAGGGCAGAGAGAGAGAGAGAGGCAGAGAGAGGGACAGAGAGAGGGACAGAGAGAGAGAGAGACAGAGAGAGGAGAGAGAGGACAGAGAGGGGACAGAGAGAGGGACAGAGAGAGGGGACAGAGAGGGGGACAGAGAGGGGCAGAGAGGGGGACAGAGAGAGGGCAGAGAGGGGGAAGAGAGAGGGACAGAGAGAGAGACAGAGAGAGGAGCAGAGAGAGGGGCAGAGAGAGAAGCAGAGAGAGGACAGAGAGGGACAGAGAGAGGACAGAGAGAGAGGGACAGAGAGAGGGACAGAGAGAGGGACAGAGAGAGGGACAGAGAGAGGGACAGAGAGAGGACAGAGAGAGGGGCAGAGAGAGAAACAGAGAGAGAAGCAGAGAGAGGGCAGAGAGAGGGACAGAGAGAGGGACAGAGAGAGGGACAGAGAGAGGGACAGAGAGGGGGACAGAGAGGGGACAGAGAGGGGGACAGAGAGAGGGACAGAGAGAGGGACAGAGACAGAGAGAGGGGACAGAGAGGGGACAGAGAGAGGGGCAGAGAGAGGGGCAGAGAGAGGAGACAGAGGAGGACAGAGAGCAGAGAGAGGGGCAGAGAGAGGGAGCAGAGAGAGGAGGCAGAGAGAGGAGAGAGAGACAGGGGGGCAGAGGAGGGGAGGTCCGGGGGGTTAGACATTGTTCTACAGCTCCTCCTGGTGGTCAGAAAGAAAAACAGCAAATGACTTTAAGACTGGAGGAGACTAAGAGAGGGTCAGAAGAGCCAAGGATGAAGAGGAGAGGGTCAGATGGAGCAGAGGAGAGGATGAAGAGGATAAAGAGGAGAGGGTCAGAGGATGAAGAGGAGAGGGTCAGAGGATGAAGAGGAGAGGGTCAGAGGATGAAGAGGAGAGGGTCAGAGGATGAAGAGGAGAGGGTCAGAGGATGAAGAGGAGAGGGTCAGATCACAGTTGAAGTCTTCTCTGTGTGACATCTTTGACCTAAAAAAACACTTCTTCCCTTTGAAAGAAACATGTGATTTTGGCGTAAACCCTCTCCTGGTTTTATGGCTGTAATGGATTTGACCTTTTCTCGTCGTATTAAAGTATTTTCCGTCATTATTTTCACATAATGTCACAGAGGACCCCCGCCGGGCCCTCGCCACGGGGGACACAGGCAGGTCAACGCACTTCTGCTTTAGTGGCGCTCACAAGTCCCAGCTCGGAAAATACTCCCTACTCTCCACAATCGCTCGGTTTCTTTGTCTAAATGCACTTTATCAAGTTTTTAAGCGTATTTTAACCTGGAGATGAACAGATTTAGTTTTATTCAGATCTTAAAATGATATCTTGTGGTAATACAGTTGTTTTAATAAAAAAAAAAAAAAAAAACTTGGAAAAACATGTTGCCTCTCCACAGATCTGACCTGTAACTTAGCAGTGTCACCTGATAGAAAGGCTTAATCCCACACTGAATAAATATTGTAGTATCATGGGCTGTAATCATATTTCAACATGTTCAGTGGGAAACATTGAGCTTTTCAATGTCATACATGCATGTTTAAGTCATTTAGCGATCTCTCCTGGGCCCTATTTGAACCCTCCTTATGGTTAGCAGTACAAGGCTCCGCCCACAAGCCTACATCATCCACATCACCCACGCTCCCTCATGACAACTCTCCATAAATACACAAAAACATAATACAAAGCAATACAAACCTGATGTAATGTGCAGTAGTTTCAAAAATATAAAAAAATATATGTTGTTTTTCGGCAAATATAATATTTTATCAAACATTGAAAGGTAACCTGGTGATCTAAGTATGATTGTGTTGTGTTGAGTTATATAATACATACATAATATAATACATAATATAATACATATATTATATAATACATATGTAATGAATTCATATCTAGTCCAGCTGAACTGCTTTTCCTCTCAATTATCCTTCAGGAACACACTTGTTTTATTATTCCATGTTCTGACCCTCGTCCTGTGCCCACAGCTCTGCCCTCTGCTCGGGACACGCCCAGCCCCATCGACCCTGAGTCCATCCAGGTGCCCATCACCTACGAGCCCGACCCGGCCGACCTGGCTCTGTCCAGCGTGCCCGGGCAGGAGATGTTTGACCCACGCAAACGCAAGTTCACCGCAGAAGAACTGAAGCCACAGCCAATGATCAAGAAGGCACGCAAAGTCTTCATCCCCGAGGACCTCAAGGTACTGGCCCAGGACAGGTTATGTTTGGGAAGCATTTTTATGTCACATTTGAGTAGTTTGATTTCAACTCAATGCTTTATTAAGATACATTAATGAATTACTGTTTAGTCACAAAGTCATAAATACTTTTATTTTATTTAGTGCAGACTTGCAAAACAGAGAAAACAGTCATAGCTTAATGGTGCCATATTGGTGCTGTATCTGATTTTTTCATGTCATAAAGTGAAACCTGTAAAAATTGGGTACAGCCCCTTTAACAATGTATTTATAAAATCTAGACCAGGGGTTTCCAAACTATGGCCCAGGGGCCAAATGTGACCCTCAGGCCAATTTTTGTTCATTTTGTTAGTCGTCCTTCTGAATTGGTCCCAGTGGCCCATCATAGGCAGAACTTTTTAAAGTTCTGTGAATATCTGTAATAGTATCACTAAAGCTTCAACAGTATCAGAGTGAAGTGTGACACAGAGTGAACCTGAATGTTCCACACTGTGTTCAAGTGTGACAGCTCTATTAAAACTCTACCACAGCTCTGTGCCCCACCGCTTCAAACAGGGTTCAGTGTACACCCCCTGTGCACAGACTGGACACCCCTGGTCTATACTGTTGTTACTACAGTTACTATAGTTACTATGGTTACTGTAGTTACTACAGTTACTATAGTTACTATGGTTACTGTAGTTACTATAGTTACTATGGTTACTATGGTTACTGTAGTTACTATAGTTACTATGGTTACTGTTGTTACTACAGTTACTATAGTTACTACGGTTACTGTAGTTACTATAGTTACTATGGTTACTGTAGTTACTAGTAGTTACTGTTACTGTAGTTACTATAGTTACTATAGTTACTATGGTTACTGTAGTTACTATAGTTACTACGGTTACTGTAGTTACTATAGTTACTATGGTTACTGTTGTTACTACAGTTACTATAGTTACTACGGTTACTGTAGTTACTATAGTTACTATGGTTACTGTAGTTACTACAGTTACTATAGTTACTATGGTTACTGTAGTTACTATAGTTACTATGGTTACTGTAGTTACTATAGTTACTACGGTTACTGTAGTTACTATAGTTACTATAGTTGCTGTAGTTACCATAGTTACTATAGTTACTATAGTTACTATAGTTACCGTAGTTACTGTAGTTACTATAGTTACCATATACTATTCTATACACAATCTAAATATAAATCCAAGGCTCTGCTGTTCTTTCTGACCATGAGCACTGAGCGTATTAGTTACAAAAATAAAAAAAACAACACTCTTAAAAATGTGTCATGAATATGTTTTTTTTTTTAACTGATGAACTAATGTTTATGCACTGTGGCCATCCCAGCTGCCAAAGCCTGTTTTCGTCAGATCTCAGAAGCAGGGCCGAGCCTGGTTAGTTCTTGGATGGGAGACCGCTGGGAAAATCAGGTGCCACAGTGGGGCGTCAGTAGCAAAAACTGTCGTTGTGTCCTTAGGCAAGACACTTCACCCACATTGCCTAGTATGAAAGTGTGTGTGAGTGTTGGTGGTGGTCGGAGGGGCTTCCGTCAGTCTGCCCCAGGGCAGCTGTGGCTACAGCAGTAGCAAACCACCACTGAGTGTGGAGTGAACACTAAGCGCTAGAGAAAACTGATCTATTTTTTGAAAATCATCCAGGTTTTGTGGGACAGAACGAGTACCCAGATAATTCAGAAAAGAAATTAATTCTTTTATTTTTCCCCAATTACACTATTTTGTAACTGATTGGAGCAAATCTTGTAATCACTGTTAGATTTGGATTAATTGCCTCCTTTTCTCTCCTTCTGTATCTCCCCATACACCCCCCACCCCTTCCTTCTTCCTTCTTCTTTCTTTCTTTCTTTCTTTCTTCCATCCACTCTCTTCTTCTCTCCTTCTTTCTCTCCCTATCCTTCTCTCTACTCCGTCTCCCTCCCCCTTCATCTCTTTCTCTCCCAGGACGATAAGTACTGGGCTCGCCGCAGAAAGAACAACGTGGCGGCCAAGCGCTCCCGAGACGCCCGCCGCCTCAAGGAAAACCAGATCGCCATCCGCGCGGCGTTCCTGGAGAAGGAGAACGCCGCCCTGCGCGTGGAGGTCGCCGATCTGCGCAAGGAGCTGGGCCGCTGCAAAAACGTTGTGGCCAAATACGAGGCTCGGCACGGCCCCCTGTGAAGCCGCACCCGCCCGCACCTGTCTGCCCCCGTCAGTCCCAAATTCCACCAATGCTCCCCCCATGTTTTTTGAAGGACAATGTGCTTCTTTTTGGTGGCACTGCCTAACCCTGACCCAAATCAAACCCATACACTGTCAAAAACTGGACTATCTACATGAGTTCATTTGACCTGAATTTCTGCACTTGATTTGAGTGGTTTTCATATTTAAACTGAGCTGGAGGTCTGAATTCTATGGCAGATTTTACTGTGGAACTGTCAGATTGCAGATTTGTTGACCTGGTTTATGGTTCACATTTTTGTAATTACTGAACCTATCCACATGAAACAAAAACCAGCACGAAATTCACCATCTTTTCTGTCAATATAAACAAACAAAAATGAATAGTTTCAGAAAATTGTGCCATTATTCAACCCTAAAGACGTGATTGTTGTCAGCTGAAAGGACTTTAAAAAACCAGAAGATTAACATGACAAGTTTGCGGAGCTGATCCCAAACAAATAATGACCAGAAGTTTCAACATTTGTGCGCCATAAGTTTGGATATTTCTTTCAAAAACAGCGAATCTCCCATAGAGTTATCTTCCAAACACTTCATTAATCCAAACAAGTTAAAACTACTCAATATCCTTAATGAAAGTTCCGAAATCTCATGTAGACATTACACCTTTTGCAGTGTACCAACCCGCTCCCTCGTTATAAATCTGGTATTTTCGTGTCATTTTTGATCATAAGCTTTGACCCTTGTTTTTCTGTACACATTGTTCTAAGTATATGCATAGATGGTATATATATATATATTTACACATGCATACTTCCCACTATTGTACTGTGAGGAGTCCCGATGAGCCAACCCTCTCACCAGCCAATCGCATCACCGCTTACACCTCCTCCTCTTTGTGTCTCTCTCTTTGCACTGTCAAATACACAAATGACATTGTGAAAACGATTATCGAGTTAAAACGACTTGGAATTCTCGAGTTAAGTGCTTCACTGCAAAAAAACAAACAAAATCTAGCCAAGTTAAGACGATTTGAGTTAAGAAAGTTGTATCACGATTTGAGTAAATTTCTCTTGACGAGTAAAATGATCTGCAATGGAACAAGACTTTTTGATCTTTTTAAAATATAAAAATCTTGCTACACTTAAGAAAAACAACTACTTTTTGCAATTAAAATAAGAAACTAAATATAATGTTGCTTGATTTAAGAAAAACACACTTACCTGACTAGTGAAGAATCCCTCAGTCGTCCAGGTAGAATCCACTGCAAGGAGAAAATTCAGTTCGTCGACTGGACAAAAGTTGGTTTGGTTGAAGACTTTTCGCAGCTCTTCCAAGATGCTTCTTCAGTTCTTGAGTTCTGGAACCGAAGAAGCAGCTTGGATGACTAACTTTTGTCCAGTCGACAAACTGAATTTTCTCCTCGACACTTAGATAATTTTACTTGTCAAGTTGATTCCACTCAAATAAAGTCAAATATTCTTAATTTAAGTCATTTTCATTTAACTAGATTTTGTTTTTTTCAAGTGCAGTACTATTTTCAAATATTCCTGGTTGGTTAAAATGCTCAAACGCAGGAAGTAACACTATTTTACTTAAAACTAGTCAATTCTAGTCATAATTAAGTAAAGAAATGGACCTGATTGACCTGGTTACTTGGTCAATCCTTGTTCAAACTACTCAATATTTTCAAGTCATTTTAACTGTCATGTGTTTTTGTGGTGTGTACCATTTTCTACGTGACGTTTGGACCTACTCCCTCCGTCTCTGTCTCTGTATAAAACTCTTTCTTGAATACATGGTCCTGTCGTTAAAGGGGGAGCAAGTGAGCGGACTACACGAGCTGTAAATATACGCTTTTGCCAGTGTTTTCTATCTAAATCATTTTATCTGATTACAAGGCACTTTTTGATGCTGTTTTGATAATATAAAGTGCTCGTTACTTTCACGATTCACTGTCTATGTAAAGCTTTCGCAAAAATCCATTGTACACTGTAAAAATGTAACCATGATCCTTTCCTTACTTGCTTCTCCTTTACTCGTTAATTAACTCGATTTCTTTCCGTCAACACCTCGGAAATATTTATACAAAGCGCTTAATTTCGACATGTGCAATCTGAAAACCAGCGTTTGGGGTTCACGGCCTCAACACTGAGCAATAATCACAAAAAAAATGAATCTTTTTAACTCACAAAACTTCACATTTACGACATCCACTGCAGAAAAAAATCTGTTAAAAGTTAAAATGACCTGAATTATGAATTTTAAGTAGTTTTGACTAGATTGGGTTGGGAAAACTTGATATTTCTGAGTGGTTGAAAAGATATTTTAAAGAAACAGTTTCATTCTGTTGACAGATTACACTGCCTTGACATTTATATTGAAAATTATGAGTGTCAACCAAAAAAAATCTAGTGGAAAATACTTAAAACGTCGGTTATTATAGACCTAAAAACGAATCAATTTAAACTAGTCAAAATTACTCAAAAAACTCAAGTAATTTTAACAAATGTTGATCTTTTTTGCCGTGTTCCTCCTTCTGTCTGTTGTCTTGTTAACTCTGCACTAATGCGTGTCTCACAATCTGAACCGGTGCAATGTTTTCACGCTCAAAAGAAAAAATAGTTCCTCTGCATCGTATTTATCTACCTTTTATTTCTCAGATGGAAGATTGTTGTTTTTTTATATATATATAAATATATATTCTGTTGATATAATTGTTAGTATTGATACTACTACTGTCCATGTTTAGCCTCTTCCTTGTTTCGGATTCAAAGGGGCGGTTTGGGAATTTTAAGTGGGTTTCAGGAGTTTTTGGTATTTTCTACGTGGCTTTAAAATGTGTGGGGGAAAAATAAAACGAAAAATAGTCATAAAAATTGTCTTCAGACCAAACAGGATAGCAAAGAATGCGATCAGTACTACAACTACTACTTGCTAACGTTGCCAGATACACCGTTTTAATACATGCATTACGAGTTTTGGATTTCCGGTCATTGCGCAATGCATACTGGGAAGGATTTTCTGAAAAAAGTGAGCATCAAACCTCCATGTTTGATTTCCCAGTGGGATGTGTCTATTGACGAAGCTGATCTTTTCAAGATTTTTTTCAAGATCTTCTTTTGTTTCTGGTTCTGATATTGTCATATTTTAGTTTTGGGATTTGAACATCGTAATTGTGTGGTTGTTGGATCCTAACAGCGGAAAACGGCTCGAGAAATTTGTTTGTGAACTCTATAACTGCAAAAAGGAATTAGATCCCTGTGACTGTAAACCTCTGTTCAAACCGTTTCCCTTCCCAACGGAATTGAAAAATAGTGAAATATTTGCTGCAAACTCAGGATGATTTAGTCAGTCAAAGGTTTCCTTTTTGGTCCTTCCTGTGGATCAATCCTGCCCATCGCCTTCACCTTTCACTATTTTTCAATTCCTTTGGGAAGAGAAACAGTTTGAACAGAGGTTTGCAATCACACACATCTGATTCCCTTTTGCATTTATGGAGTTAGCAAACTTTCAAAGCCTGTTTCTCGAGCCGTTTTCTGCTGTTAGGATCCAACAACCACACAGTTACAATGTCCGAATCCCAAAACTAAAATATGACAATATCAGAACCAGAAACAAAAGCAAAATGGTTCAAAAGACTTGAAAAGATCGGCTTTGTCAATAAACACATCCCACTGGGAAAATAAACATGGTGGTTTGATGCTAATTTTTTCAGAAAATCCTTCCCAGTATGAATTGCACAATGACCGGAAGTCCGAAATTCGTGATAATTCGTTAAGCTAAGGGTAACTAATACACGACGAACCTTTGGCGATTCAAATAAGAACCCACTCAAAACCGCGACTGTCCCTTTAGAATCTCCATAAATGCTATTCTTTGGCGAAAAGTTGTTGATAATATTTTTTGTTTATGTTCTGCTCACAGTTAGCATGGTTATGATTACTCTAATTATTAGCCTATGAATCGGCAGTTTAATTTTTTAGAAACTGTAAGTCTCTGCGTTTTTAGCGTTGTTTTTGTCGCCTTGTCTCTCAGATGGCTGTATGAATGTAAAAGATGTGACAAAAATGTTCTAAGTTGGATGGTGTTGTCCGATACCGTGGTTAACCCTATCACGAATAAACCAAAATTCACAATATAGAGAATTATATTGGTTACAAAAATATGTTTATATAAATCGTCTTTCTGTACAGTATTTTTCCTACACATTTATGTATTTTAAAGGCACAACAGATCCAAAAAGATGATAAAAAATACTATAGCAGTGCATATAGAGGTATTTTAATATTCTGTCTATATATTTAGCTTAGTTTTACACAAAAATAAAAAACTTTCTGGGGCATTACAACATTTACTCATACGACCACCCTCGCGCACTCCAGCGTAAACTTTAATCCGACAAATGGGTAAAGGAAGAGGGTAAGAATGTACGGTATGGAAGCCCTAAACTGCCAAAAAAGTGCTGCTGTAGTTTTCTGGGGATTAAGCCTAACTTTGACAATTTGGTGTTTGGAATTTTTTACTGGAAATTAGAATTTTTTGGGCTACCTTGGTAATTAGAACTAACCTCAAGTGTAAAACTGTTAAAACTGATAAAGAATTCACCAGTTTAAACTTTTTGAGCAAAGAAATTCTGAATTGTGTTCTTTTGAGGCTGCCATAGAGTTCTAATTTGAGGAGTACTTATGCTGCATTTTATTGTTATATTGTTATTGTTTTATTGACCTCGAGAAAGTGCAATGGAACAGTCAAATCGCAATTCTGAAACACAAATTTGGGCTAGTTCGGTGCAGTCCGAATCGGTTGGACATGAAACTTTCTTAAACTGATTCGAATTTATCCACTACCGACATTTAAAGGTTGTATGGAAGATTTTTTTGTTTTGTTTCAAATTGTCAGTGAAAGTTTAAAATACCATTACAGAGACGCAGCAGCCTTGTAATTATGATGACCAAAAAAAAAAATAACAAAAATCTATCAACTGTGGACATAGTGACTCCAGGTAAACATCAGCCAATAGAAAACGAGGCTCCCTCATTTTCTATTGGCTGTTAGGTTGTCAATTAAACTCCCTAGTGTAACTGACTCGCCGGCGCGCAGGGATTACGTGGTTTATGCAGCGGTTCGTAGAGGCTTTTTCAAACTGTAGCTTCCTTGCATTTCGCACAAAGTTCGTTGTCATGGCGGACGAGAATCCATGACCAGTTCGCCGCAAAAGAAAGTCTGTTTTTGAGGTCGCTGAAAGAAAAAGAGAAGGGGGAAAAGGAGCAAAGCCAAACTGAGGTGATTCTTGTAGATTCCTTCCAGCGATTGCACAACTGAAGCAGACAAAAGGTCTAAAAACTGATGCATCGGTCACTAAATGATTTCTAGACAGGTCACTTCAACAGTAATTCTGTCACTGTATTTCTCTTCCCTTAAAAAATCCTCTATACAACCTTAAAGAAAACGCAGCATTAAGAGACTTGTTCATTTTGTATCTTTGGTGGTCCCGACGCAAAATTGAAATGAAAACAAAATAAAACTAAGTCAATTTCCAAAGGATCATGCATGCACGATTATCACTGATTTAAAAATGGCCGCTTAAGGCTTCCATACAAACATCACCACCACAGGAAGCTTCTCTGTACACAGCTTTACCGCGGCTTGCTATCGCGTTTTATTCGGGCTAACGTTACTATGAAGGACAGGGATTGTGTGTGTGTGTGTGTGAGTGTCCGCGGCCGTAGTCTGTCCCTAAACCTGAGTGATGGGCACCCGGAAGCCATTTGGGATTGTATTTTTTTTTCTTGTAGTTTCTCGATGGCGAACCGGTGTCGAGTCCTTGTTTTAGTGTCGTAGTGCTACGCTTTCACGGCAAGGCTTTAGCTGACTATTTCAACTTGGGATAAGGCCAACTATTTTGGACAATGTATGGAAGTTGCAAGGAATATTTGAACAGATTTTTATTTTTTTTTTGAATCAGCCTGGAAATGGACGTCTATTCTTTCCTCATCGGCTGTAAGAAGAACGGTTCTAGTGGACCAAAAATCCACAATATTGATGTGTGGACCTGGTTTATTCCATGGATCTCTGGAGAACTGCACATAAAACAATAAATTCCTCTTTGGTGTTTTTTACCATTGCAAAAC